AACTCTGCAGAGCCTAACCCCCGGGTCTGGTGGGGAGAAGGTTCCTGTACCACCCCACAGCAGCCAGGACGCTTGGTCATGTGGGACACTAGAAAGAGTTCAGTCCTGGGAGGTAGGCCACCAGGGCTCTCATGCTAGATCCACCACTGACTTCCTGGGCCCCTCTCTAGTCCTCTGTGAAATGGGATCAGGAACATTTCACAGGAGGGTGACTTCCCAAGAGCCCCTCCTTGTAGGCCAGCTGTGACTTTTGGATAACAGCAAAAGCCCTCTTAAGCCCCCTTAAGCCCTCTGCAGGGCAGGGAGAGAGTCCTGTACCCCAAATGTGGACCCAGCACTGAACCCCACTTGCTGCCCCACTGTGCATCTCTCAGTTACCACACCTGGAGGCAAAGAATCTGCACCACAACCCGAGTCAGAGCACCCCCAGGACCCAGACAGTGGCTGGGAGTAGGCAGTGCATTTATTGGCTCTGGTTTGCAGTCAGTCCCTCAGCACAAAGCCAACATGTGTCCCCTCCCCCCCACCCTCCAGTCCCTGGTCCTCAGTGGCAATCACATTTTCACCCTGAAAGTCCAAAAGGCACAGAGAAGCAGGAGGAGAAAACCCTAGAATTTAAATATATAAAGTGCGACGATACAGCTTATCAAACTGAGCAGATCCTCCTGACCCAGCTGAAGCGGAGTGGAAGGAATGGTGTAGGCTTAGCAGTTTCTGCGACGAGTGACGCCACACGGTCTCCAGAGCTGGCATTTGCTATGGCAGACAGGACTCCACCTTTTCAAGGTACTCCCGGACCCAGGCGTGCTTCTTCAGGCCACAGGTCTTGTTGCCTTTCTTCAGATGAAATCTGTGCACAGAGAGCAGAGGAGAGGGCTAACCCACCTGAGCCCCACACTGCATGGGCACCCACAAATCCTTTCTCTAATTCCTTGCTGCTAGGTAACCCTACGTGCTTCTCTCTGGGCCTCGGGCTCCTCTCTGTAGATGAGGTTGCTGCATGAGATGTGAGGGTTACACACTAGACAGATCATTCCAAGTACCAGGAGCTAATTAAATGAGCCTCTTGAGCCCCAATTCAGCACGTGGGGCTGGGGTTGAAGACCTTGCAAACATTCTGATGATGAAAAATTTCCATATTAGAGTGTCTCACAGCTACAACTTGAATGTAACTGTGTCCATCTGAGACCTCATTCATTGCCTCGGAATCAGAGTATATGTGTGTGTGTGTGTGTGTGTGTGTGTGTGTGTCCTATGTTCTGATCTGCCCACTTCCTGAACTTGGCTGTGGTCCAATCTGTAGGCCAACTCTGCCTCTTACTGTCTGGGTGAACTTACACACATCTTTCTACCTTCCTGGACCTCAGTTTTCATGATAACAAAAATATCTGCCCTAAGAGAGTTAGCAGAGATAATACGGATGAACGTGCCTCAAAATCCTGAGTGTAAGCAACCCCATAATGATCCCGTGATGCAGGCATCATGTTTACCCCCATAGATAAAGAAGACACAAATAATGAGGTACAGAGACATTACATGTCCAAGGCCATGCCAGACTCTATATTACCAAAGCGAGAGGCACGAACTCACTAATCATGACTCCTTTGCTATTTCCACAAAACAATAATGCCTGGTGTTTTCGGTAAGCCATTTCCTCCTCCACGCATGTAACACTGGGATATAATACTTGGCAATTTGGACTTCCAAGAAAAACAAGTCGCTGCGGGGGCCCGGGGGCCTCCCTGGCACCTGGCAGCGGTTCTCAACCTGTGGGTAGCGACCCACAGGAACTGTATTAAAACAGCTAGGCGGCTCCGCGCTCCCCCTGAAGCCCAAGTGCAGCCTGCGTGCAGCTGTCGGCGCGGCCGCGCTGCCGCCGGTTAGAAACCTTATTCTGGTGGAACAGCGCCATCTAGCGCCTGCTATTCCGGGCCAGACAGCGCGGTCGTCTAGGGAGGGATTGGAGAAGGGTGATCACTTACATGACAGCTTTATCCAGGCAGCTGGAACTGGTTTCTCGGCCACACCGGATTATCTTCATGGGAATCTTTCTCTCCACAAATGAATAGCAACAGCTGGAGGAACGCGTGAGTACTGGAAGAGAATGTATGAAACAGTTTGCGGCCCTTTCTCAACTTCTCACCGGTAGCATCGCTTTAAAAAAGAGAGAAAAAGTCCCACCCAGGACCAGCCTGGGCTTTGCGACCACATCCGGGGGCCCTGGCACAGCCCCATCTCATTAGCCACCGAGTTCTGGGGAGAGGTGAAGAGTCAGAGGCTGGGTTTCAAATGTGAGGTTGGCACAAACCAGCTGGATGGTCTTGATGAAGACCAGCCCTCAGCCTGATCCCAGACCTTCCCTGCATGAAATTAGGCTTTTTGGACCCTGATTTTTAAGGACTTGTCCAGTTCCGACATTCCATCACAGGCTCATGGTTCTGCCCTAATAGTTGAGTCCAAGGGCTCTGGACCTACCTACACTCAGGGGCGGGATCAGTGTGCTCCACACAGGAAAATGTGGTCTGTGGCCCACAGACCTGGGCCCGTGCTAGGAACTGTTCTGGCGTTCAAAATGACGAGGAGAGACGCCTGGGAACTAGCTGGCTCCCTACTTACCCTCTCAGATCCCCTCCTGCTCTGGTCTCCAGCTCTCTCCAGGCCCCTGCCCCCATTCTGCTGGTCTGTACACTTCCCCCACACACTCTGCACCCCTAAGAGACTTGCCTGTCTCCTTCTCTCTAGCACAACTGTTCACAAAACCCCTTTCAGGTCCGTAACCAGGTCAGTATTCTCCCAACAGCCATACAGAATCTGGGTGCCTTAGAAAACATTTATTTCTGAACCTTCCTGAACCTCAGTTTTCATAAAAACAAAAATGTGTGTAATCAACTCCATTTTACTGATGGAGAGTCTGAAAGGCAAAATGACTTGCCTGAGAGTAGCCAACTAGGAGAGCCCTGGTCCTGCCTTCAGACTCTGCTTCATGTCCGTCACACCAAGGAGGCAACACCTAGTCCTCCTATCGTCTGCAGGCCTCCCACCTTGACCTGAATAACCTCGTAGGTGCCCTCCGTCCATGTGCAGGTGAGGCAGAGCCTTCTGCTGCCACCAGTAGCTTGGTTCTCTGGGTTTGCCCCTGACTCATGGCTCCCTACTGGCCCTCTGCAGCAGCCCATCTAAACCCTCCATTTCTCCTCTGTAGGACAATGGTGAGTCCAGGGTGAGCCCTGCCCTAATCCTAGAGCACCTGCTGGCCTTTCTACACCCCCCATCAAGGAGAAGCAGAGTGACCCCTGCTATACTCACTGCTACTTTCCACGTGGCATGGCCACATCCCGACCAGCAGCAGGCACACCAGGGCCATGGCCATGAGCTTCATCTTCAGTGGTTCTGGCTCAGGCCTTACTGGA